ATGTACACTACATTTTTATATATAATTATGCTATTTAATGTCTCTAAATATTATATACAGAGAAACATGCAGATAAATATTTTGTACTATAGCTATCGCAACACAAGATACGTACATACATGATAAAACATATACTATATATAGATATATAGATAGACATTGAAAACTTATATTACATCACATATTGAAATAACATATAATACATACAGATTTGTGATATATCTATATCCAGGCATATAATATATATAGAACTATGTGATCTATATAGAGGTATAAAATGTAAAGACACATAACTTACATATATCATGTATTATATAGAGTTATGAGACAAATATATAGGGTATATTGACATTATATAGGTAACTAGACATACTACTTAATGTGTATCTGTATATTGCAGAAATGAAGTAGATTTCATATAGACACATATTATCGATATAGAAATATAGTGTACATAAACAATCTATAATCAGGTATAATTAGATATATGTGTATATATTACCTAGAGAGAAATACATAGACGCGTACATATTCTATATAGGTCTAGACATACTACAAATTGATATATACACATACATTATACATGATATAGATTTCGATACATACAAATGAAATTATATAATATAGAGACATAATATGCACTATATCGAGATCTCTAATATTCAATTTACATATAATGCATGATGTATTATATATACATTATTTACAATTAAGTATCTTCTATATAGAGAAATGTACTATATATTAGAGACAGGAATACAGCCTACACTGTGACATATGAAATAACATGTTTTATGGAGCAAATTTCCAATATCTTGAAATATGGTATATGTATAATGTGCCAAACGTATATTGTAAATATATAGCATATATTTCTACATACACGTTTATACATTAAAAGACAATATATAGGCTATTTTAGAAATATTTACATGGACAGAAATTTGCATATGTTATCTATAAATACGTATTGAGAGACGTGTGTTGTATAGATCTACTCCATGCAGAAATTTATAGTGTATGTCATATAACACATTTTACATGTATGTACATATATTTCTAGAGAGACAAACCGCAACATCGTATTTTCTCTCTAGATATCATATATAGAACTTTGTATGCATAAATATATCCACGTAAGTGTAATGTAGTCTACATATATTTCTATATAAATACGTATTCTTTTTGTACATAGATTCGTATGTTTACATATGGCAAAATATATATTCTAGTTATATATAAAATACATAGATGTACATGATATTTTACTATTGTAAAGACAGTATATTTATATGTAAGTATAGCAATGTGTAAAATATTTATATAAATATATAGATCCTATCATACATAGACAAACGTTTTTATATAGAACCATGTATATCTATATAAAAATATATAGACATATTTATATATCAAAGCACATACATGTATAACATCATATATAAAAATATATAGGTGTAACATATATAACTATATGCATTATACATAAAGAATAGATTCCACATTCTATGTAAATAGAAATATATCGATATATTAGTACATAGAAATATGTAGCCATATTGTACTTCTATGTACAAATATATGCATGCATAACACACATAAATATATAGGCCTGTAATAGTTATATACAGAAGTAGATCGACATATATGTATAGAAATGTATCGATATGTAATATATCAATATATAGAAATATACGGATGTATCATATTTAGATATAGAAATACATGCATGCATAACATACATACGGATATATCGATATGTTTGTGGAAATATATGGATCATGTATTGCAGATCTGCAGAAATGTAGATATGTAATATACTGCATTTATATATGAAGATATTGATCTGGAATACATTCACCTATCATTAGATGTATAGATAATATATGGTTCTGTCATATGTTCAGACAGATAGATGTATAGACACCATAGCGATCTGTCATTTGTCCACACATAATTAGATGTGTTGATAACATCAATGTCATATAACATAACATCGATGTTATAGTCACATAATTAGATGTGTGGATAACATATCGATCTGTCATGTCTTCATAGACAACATATCGCTCTATCATATATGTTCACTTCATTAAATGTATAGGTAATATCGAGCTGTCATATCTTTACATCATTAGATGTATAGAGAACATATTGATCTGTCATATGTTGACATCATTAGCTGAACAGATAACATATCAATCTGTCATATATAACATGATACAATATGGATCTGTCATATGCTCACATCATTAGATGCATAGACAACATATCACTCTATCATATATAACATATGATAGCATATCAGTCTGTCAAATGTTCATATGATCAGATGATATATTGATATCATATGTTGATATGTCGATATACTGACATAGAATTACGTATTGATAAGCAGACTCTCTATGTAATAACTCTGTCAACTGTTCATATGATTAGATGATATACTGATATCATATGTTGATGTATCGCTATACTGACATGTAACTACATATTGATAAGCAGACTCTCTCTGTGTAATAACTCTGTCTCTGTGTGGTGGCGTCCCAACCCCGCTCGTTGCCCCAATCGGGGCACCTGGTCCCTTCTGGCCCGCTAGCTCGTTGGGCTCTGACATCGTTAATCCCTTTTTCCTCCCGATGATCCCCCCACTTCTGCCTGTACCCCTGCCTCAGGTGCGAGTTCTGCCTATGGGTGCAGTGCTCAGTCCCTGTGGGCTCTGGTCCTGTCCCTCCTCGCTGACTGAAGCTTTTAGGAGCATTATCTCTGGTCCCACACCTGCAAATGTCAGTTTCCCTATCTGCATGACAGTACTGTGCACAGTACCTGCACAGTGGCTCGACTCTGGGGTGTTTACCCCCGTGGCTAAGTAGAAGAGGAGAAGGAGACGCTAACAGGAGGATGAGCCCAGGAGACAGGCACTAACAGCAGGATGAGCCCGAGCCAAGTCCTGGCTGTATAGTACTCCCTCTCACCTGTGGACAGCTTCTTCCACGTCACCAGCGGCCTGGGCTCCCCGGTGGCCTCGCAGTGGAGGACGGCGTCGGAGCCGGCGGGGACTGAGAGTGTCGGGGGCGGCCGGGTACTGATCCTCGGTTGTTCCCCGCGGGGCCAGAACCGTGGCACGGATCCACTGGCAAGGCTATTTTCAGGAGGCTGTGCCGAGGGCGTCCTCCAGGGCGCGCGGGTGGGGTTGATCGGCGGGGTGTGTGAGCTCAGGGTGGATGCGGGGCCGTGGAACACCGGTGGTGCGGGGGGCCCAAGGGCGACCCAGGGTGGAGGGGACCAAGGCCTGGGGTGCTGCATGGGTCGGAGCCCAGGGACGCGGTGCGCCCTTTCAGGAAGATGACTGCTGACTCGCGTCAGTGGCTCTTGCATGCCGGGGAACTGGGGTCTGGGTGGCTGTGGTGGGTGCGGGGTGCTGGACTCGGTTAATCTGGGGGTGGTGATTCCACGGACACTGGGTTGGCGGGTGCTCATTTCAGGACGATGAGTAGAAGGAGTGTGCCGCTGGGGATTCTGGGTAGTCGCCTGCCATGGCCTCGAGGTGCCCGGGGTGGGTTCGGTGGGCTCTGGAAACCCACCGGAAGTGACGTCACCCGCGGCTGGGACCCCAGGCAGAAGGTTCTGCGTGCTGATAAGGACTTCCGGGTCCTCTTCTGGTTGTGGAGACGAAGTCCGTGGTGCCCAGGTGGAGGCTGGGGTACTTGGTCCGTGCACAGTCATCCTGGCTGGGCGCTCAGTGCTAGGCTGGAGTGTCAGGAGGGTTGGGCTCAGGGTGGGCGGGACCCCAGATGTGGGAGCGAGTGACGTCACGGGGGCAGCAGTCCAGGCGGAAGTCGGACGGGGAAATGGAGGTGCGTCACCAGGACGAGCAGTGCTGGTGTCTGAACCGGAGTTGGGTGCTGACTGGGGGCGGCCGGAGTCGGGGCCGGTAGTGACGTCATCCGCTTTTTCCTTGGCATCGCCAGCGTGCACTGTGACGTCATAGCCTTTGGTTTCCTCTGCGTCTGGATGACGTGTGCTGGGAACGGCTTCCCGGACGTCCTGAGGAGACCGATGGACTTCTGAGGCCGCAGATGTGCCCACGCCAACGATGTCATCTGAGTCTTCCGTATTTGCAGGGTCAGTGACGTCATCTGAGTCTTCCCTGTCCGTGGGGTCAATGAGGTCAACGGAGCGTTGAGCGTTCGTGAGCCCAACGACACCGGCTGAGTCCTCCAAGTGCCCTGGGCCAATGACGTCATTGGTGACGGCATTATGAGATGGACGGATTTTTAAGGAGTCTGTGGAATCTTCTGTGCCAGTGACGTCATCCGAGCCTTCCGATTTCGCTGGGCCAATGACGTCATCCAGGACGACACTATGCGACACAGGGTGCTTTAAGGAGGCTGTATTGTCTCCCACAACAGTGATGTCATTGGAGTCTTCGGCGTTCGTGGAATTAACGACATCACGGGGGGCGGTCGTCCAGGAAAGTCCCCCTCCCACAGTGGAGTGCGCCACATCTTGTTTACGGTCACGTGGCAGGTTGGGCGTGGATGCCCACGGCGCTGACGTCACGGCAGGCGCGGTGATGGGGGGCCTGTGCGGCCTCTTCCGGTGCTTCCGCTGCTTCTCGGGAATCTGAGCCGTGCTGGGCACCGGGGACGCTTTCAGCAACGTTGGCTCCTGCGTGTTGGGGACTCGCGAGGGTGATGTCATCGGGGGGCTTGACCCTGGCCGGAAGCGGTGCGGGCGGGGCCTCTTCCTGCTGCCCGGTCTCCTGCGTGGCCCCAGGGCAGATGGGGTGCTTCCTGGGGGTTTTTCTCCAGTCCACACAGGTGCAGGGGCTGTGGGGAAAATACTCCTGAAAGTGGGGACCAGAGACGGTGGCCCGCCATGTTGCCTCCCACTTTCAGGAGACCTAGCATCTTGGTCCTCACTTGGTTCACTTGGTTCAGCACTTTGCCGGGCACTTTCGGGAGGCTTACCGGAAGTTCGGCCCCTCTGTGCGTGCTTCCGTGCCCCCTTCCTGCCCGGCCTTCCTGGCTGGGCATAGTTGGGTCGGTTTTCTCCCTGGACCTGGGTTAGGCTTCTGCCTTCAACTGGGGTGTGACCTTCCGGTGACCTTGGGCTGCTGGCGGGAGCCATGCTAAGTTCACCTCCTCGGGTGCTGGGTGCTTGGTCGTGCTCAAAGCCTCCCGTGGTCTCTGGCTGTGAGGTCGTGGAATCTGGCGCTGACCAGATATCGTCACCGGGCCTTTCCTGTACAGTGACTTCCTGGGCAGAATTGTCATCGCTGGCTTCGGGGACCTGAGTGTACGTCATCTGCTCCTCAGGTGACGTCACAGGGTCAGCAGTAGACGTCATCGAGTCCTGGGCGGACGTCATCAGGTCTTCAATGGACGTTATCGTGTCCTGGGTGGATGTCTTTGGGTCCTCGGTTGACGTCGTCGGGTTCTCACGGAACGTCAACGGGTCTTGAATGGACGTCCCACTGTAGGCCACCAGGTCCACACTGAACATCACTGGGTCCTCAGTGGACGTCATCAAGTCCCGACGGGACGCTATCGCTGTCTCCCAGTCTGTACTGTCCCCTGCTGACGGTTCCATCATAGTTGCATCTGCAAATCCTCCAGAAAGTTCTGTGCTTGGCCCCCGGGGCTCAGCGTGCTCATCCAGCACAGATGCATCTGCTGACGACTCTTCTGCCATGTTTGCCGTCTGCTTGGAAGTTGCGGGAGACCCTGCTGGTGCCAGAGACGTCACTTCCGGTGGGGTTTGAGCGAGGAGAGTGCTGGTCTGAGTACTCCAGGGTGGTTCTTCATCTCCTGAGGCCTCTTCTGCAGTGTTTCCCATCTGCTCAGGAGACACAAGAGGAGGAGACGTGGCTGGGGCCAGAGAGATAGTTTCCGCTGAGGTTTGGGGGGGAAGAGTGCTCAACAGAGTACGCAAGGGTGCTTCATGGAACAGAGATGCATGTCCTGAGGCCTCGTCTGCCGCGTTTCCCGTCTGCTCTGGCGACGTAGGAGGAGGAGACACGGCCGGGCCCAGAGACCTCATGTCCGGTGGGGTTTGAGCAGGAAGAGTGCTGGACTGAGTCCTCCTGGGTGCTTGGGTTGCCCGAGGGAGGTTCTTGCCCCGGACTCTCGTTTCCGCTGAGGTTTGGGGGGGAAGAGTGCTCAACAGAGTATGCAAGGGTGCTTCATGGAACAGAGATGCATGTCCTGAGGCCTCGTCTGCTGCGTTTCCCGTCTGCTCTGGCGACGTAGGAGGAGGAGACACGGCCGGGCCCAGAGACCTCATGTCCGGTGGGGTTTGAGCAGGAAGAGTGCTGGACTGAGTCCTCCTGGGTGCTTGGGTTGCCCGAGGGAGGTTCTTGCCCCGGACTCTGGCGAGGATGTGGGCCCAGCGCTCCGGGTTGATCTTGCTGGCCACGTTCACCCTGCGCCGGGATTCAAACATGCGGTGCCCCTCGTCGGGTGCTGGGGGTGCTTGTTCTAGGTTGTCCCACAGTTTCGGTTTCCTGCGCCCTTTTTTGGGTCTTTTTTCTGCCCCTGGGGCATCATCGTTGGTCCCGATGATGCGATCTCGGTCCTCAGGGCTCGGAGCGGTGCCTAATGACGTCACTTCCCGTCCAGAGCCGTTCTCGTCATCGTCCACATCACCGGGAACTCTGGGAAAACCCTTGGCGCCTTGACGTCGCCTTCCGCCTTTGGGGAACCGGTTCTGGACTGTCAGTTCCACCGTGAACTGGTCCCACCCCAGCCGGTTGACAGCCACACACGTGTAGTAGCCTGTGTCACGCACGTGCACGCGTGGCATGTGCAGCGCCCCTGAGGGCATCAGGTGTGCGTGTGACGTGTTGGCCGTGGGCCCGATCATCCGGTTATGGGGGATCAGCCAGCTGATGACAGCTTCGGGGACCGAGGACTCCGAACAGGGCAGCGTGACAGAGGCTCCGGGGTGCTTGTGGACGGTGCTGAGGACCGAGTCCCGTGGGGCAGTATCCGTGGACGGCAGCACCAGTACTCGGTACTCCGTCCGGTCTGTTTCGTCCGTGACGTGGGCCACGCACTGGTACACGCCCGAGTCAGAGGGCCGCGCGGACTTGATCCTCAGCCAGCCGCTACTGAGGATGGAGAGCCTGCCGTCCGCGTCGTCCGTGGGTGCTCGTAACACAGTGCCCCCGGGCAGGATCCAGAAGATGGACGGACTCTCGGAGGCCTTGACGTGACAGCTGAGCTGGTAGTTTCGTCCGTGACGTGGGCCACGCACTGGTACACGCCCGAGTCAGAGGGCCGCGCGGACTTGATCCTCAGCCAGCCGCTACTGAGGATGGAGAGCCTGCCGTCCGCGTCGTCCGTGGGTGCTCGTAACACAGTGCCCCCGGGCAGGATCCAGAAGATGGACGGACTCTCGGAGGCCTTGACGTGACAGCTGAGCTGGTAGGAACTGCCTTCCAGGACAACCTGGCTCCTCTGGGCCTCGGACCCAGGTTCTATCATCACCCAGCTGCTGCCCCGAGCCTGGGTGCTGTCCTTGGTGGTCACGGTGTGGGAGTACCGAGCACGGTAGGACAGCAGCACCTTCTGGGCGGAGCTCAGACGGCGGTTGAGCTGGATCTCGATGGTGGGTTGCATGACCCAGGCCGGCTCCGCGTAGACCTGGGCCCGGACTCCAGTGTAGTACAGAGTCTCCTCGTCTGAGTCCTGCCGGTACTTATAACCAAGTTGTCCCGGGTGCTTATAAGCAAGCGCCCCCGCGCCGTTGGCCGTGTCTTCGCGGTGCAACTTGACCGGAACCTCGCTGTAATACGCGATCAGTTTCCAGAGCTTTTCGTAGTTTTCCCGGGTCATCGGACACGTGACGTCAAGAGCCACGGTGGCCATGACGTCAATTTCCAGCGCCTCCGTCTGGTTCAGGTGCACGTCGGACAGACTCCCGGGTTTGATGATGTCACACAGCAGCAGGATGACGTTCCCGTGCTCGTCCGTCATGTTCAGGGTGAGGTTCCACCCAGGGGTGGGGATGACGTCACGGGGCAGCTGGGCGTTTCCGGTCTCCTCTAGCAGTGCGTCACCTTCGTCATCTTCCTCATCCGGGTCGGCTCGACTTCCGTTGAGCCTCAGCGGGGACTCCAAGGCGGGTTTGCTACATGTGACGTCACTCAGCGTGTGAAGCTCCTGGTTCCGGAACGTGCTGGGCGTGGCACACGCGGCGCACAGCTGACCCCCGTCGTAAACTTTGTCCTTCTTGCACTTCAGCACCCCTGCGGCAGGCCCGAGAGAACGGAGCTCGTGTCAAACCCCCCCACACTGGGAAAGCCCTCCCGAAAGCAGAAAAACCCTCCAGAGAGTGCTCGGGAGCCGAGCCCCGGTCCTCCACACAAGCAGCCAGTACCCTGAACCACTGAGCTGGGTGACCTACTGGAGCCACTAAGCTGTCAGCACTCCCCAGTGCGGCCGACAGGCTGTCAGCATGACGTCCTGGGACCCTCAACACGAGTCTTCACGGCCTTCGCTGCACTGGGGACGCAGCTCGGCCCCAGACAGGGTTTTCCCAGCATGCAGCGGAATTTTCCTGCCTGCAACAGGACCTTTCCCAGCATGCACCTGGAGTGTTCCCAGCATGCAGCTGAAGGGTTCCCAGCATGCACCTGGAGTGTTCCCAACATGCACCTGGAGGGTTCCCAGCATGCACCTGGAGGGTTCCCAGCACGCAGCTGGAGTGTTCCCAACATGCACCTGGAGTGTTCCCAGCATGCACCTGGAGTGTTCCCAACATGCACCTGGAGGGTTCCCAGCATGCACCTGGAGGGTTCCCAGCACGCAGCTGGAGTGTTCCCAACATGCACCTGGAGTGTTCCCAGCATGCACCTGGAGTGTTCCCAACATGCACCTGGAGGGTTCCCAGCATGCAACAGGTTTTTTTTTCAAAGCACTCGCGATGAGAATTTTCTGAGCACAGAACTGAGTTTTTCCCTGCATGCAGCTGCATTTCTTTCCCAGTGTGCAACAGGAATGGTCCCAGCATGCAGCTGGAGTGTTCCCAGCATGCACCTGGAGTGTTCCCAGCATGCAGCAGGTATTTTTCAAAGCATTTGAGGCACTCTCCCAGCATGCCACAGGAATTTTCCCAGCATGCAGCTGAACACCAAGGCCGCTCACCCTTGGATCTCGCCGGCCAGTTCCGGAACCAGCCGGTCTGGCAGTCGCAGGCCCAGGGATTGGCGTGCAGATAGAGGTTTTCCAGCAGCGGCATGGCTCCCAGCATGCCCTGCGGCAGCCTGCTGAGCCGGTTCTCCCCCAGGTAGAGGTGGCGGAGGGTGGAGAGCCGGAAGTGGCCGAGCACGGAGAAGGTGGCGAAGGTGCCCGGGTGCAGGTGCTGGATCGAGTTCCCCTCCAGGTGCAGCAGGCGCAGAGCCGTCAGCCCGGCCAGCGCCTGCGGGTGGATGAACTCCAGCTGGTTGTGGTCCAGGTGCAGCCGCACCAGGCCGGACAGGCCCTGCAGGGTGCGCCGCGTGACCACCCGGAGCTTGTTGTAGCTGAACTTGAGCACCTGCGGAGGAGGGTGCCGGGTCGGAGAGCTCGGTCAGCAGCACCGGGTGCCCATGCTGTACAACGAAGCCCGGTTCCCACCGCCCACACGATCTCAGGCACCACCTGCCGTCCTGGGGCCGCTGTGGGCACCGCACACTCACACACTCAGTTACCGGTGGCGGGTGGAAGGGGCATGAGGGATACGGTTTCCATGGCAACCGGGTGGGCATCTGGGTCGGACCGGGAGGGTCCCGGAAGGACTTTTACCTGCAGCGAGCTCAGGTCTCGAAGAGCCCCGTCGGGAATGGCCGGGATCTCGTTGCCATGGAGCATCAGCAGCTCCAGCTTCGTCAGGCCCGCGAAGGACGTTTCTGAGAGCGCATGGATGCTGTTGAACCTGGACAGGGACGTCAGCCGTCACCGTCATCACCATCACCAGCAGCATGACATCATCCATCATCATCATCATCGTCACATCATCCGTCATCACATCATCATCATCACATCATCATCGTCTAGCATCGTCACCATCACCATCATCACCACCACCGTCGCCATCCTCATCCATCAGCATGACATCATCATGATGACATCATCACCGCCATCATCCGTCCCAGGGCTCACACGACATCGCACAATCTCATGAGGCTCCAGCTCCTGCGCACCCATTGCCGCCTGGTGGCCTATGTACGGCCCTCACATGCTTCACAGACACGCATGTACACACACATACATGTACATGATTTCAAAGCAAAAATGTAAAAATATGACCGTTTACAAACAACAGCGGGTGGAGGCATGTTTGAGTCCCAGCCCCCGCGTGACACCTCACAACCACCTGTAGCTCCAGTTCCGTGAGACTCCATCTCCAAAAACTAGCACCAAGAAGGACACGCTAACACATGCGTGCGTCAAGCCACACGATGCTTCAGACAGTGCGGCGATGCGGTGACGTCCTTTTGGACGCTTTGCTTTCGTTAAGTTTATATTTTATCACGTGCGAGAGACTGTGCACCACTGTGATTGCAGCACCCACAGGGGCCTGGAGACGGCGCTGGATCTGATCCCGTGGAGCTGCACTTTAGGAGGCAGCACCCTGCCATGTGGGTGCTGGGAACTGAGCGTGGGTCATCTCTCAGAACAGCCAGTGCTTTTTAACTGCTGAGCCATGTTACGGACTGTGCCCGTGCCCACTGAGCTATCAGCGCTCTACACGCTTAGCGACAAGCACTCGACCCACTGAACCACAAGCTGTAACCTCTGAGCTAAAAGCACTGTACCGAGTTACAAGCACTCTGCCCACTGAGCTGCAAACACTATACACACTGAGCTATAAGCACTCTACCCACTGAGCTACAAGCACCCTATTGACTGAGCTACAACCACTGTACACACTGTAGCTCCGTGGGCAGAGTGCTGGCAGCTCAGTGGGTAGGGTGCCTGTAACTTTGTAGCTCAGGGTAGAATGCTTGTAGCTCAGTGGGCAGGGTGCTTGTAGCTCAGTAGACAGAGTCCTTCCCTAGCCTGCACAGGAACCGTGTCAGTTTTCCGTCTACAATGCTGTGTGACGTCACTCTGTTACTGTCTTCAAGGCACGTGACCTCAACCTCCGGGCCAACCAGGTGGTTCACGCTGCGTAATCAGTGACGTCATGGGCTGTTTCCGGGTGGGCAGCCTGGCTTCACCTGGGAAGGTACTTCCGGCTTAGCGTAAGGCCATGACTTAGACTCCCGCCCCCCAAATGCCACGTGACTTCCACGTGACGTCACGGCTCCGCACATCTGTCCACCAGACACTTGTCTCAGGCCCATGTGCCTGTATCTCTCTTGTTGGAGGGAGACTAAGCACCAAGCACTCCAACCTGACAAGCTCGACAGCAACCACGCACAATTGTGCATCCCGCAATGAGCACCCTCCCCATGTCCGACCCCCTCCGCGCCGACCGGCTACGCACCCCAGGTTGATCCGCTCCACGTCCCGCGCAATCCCGGCAGGCACCGCGGCCAGCGACCTGAAGGTGCAGTGCAGCTCAGTGGGCGCGTAGCAGGCGCAGGGCTGTGGACAGGGGCTCGGCTGCGCGGGGGTACTCAGCAGCAGCAGCAGCAGCAGCACCGGCCCCCAGCGCGCCGGAAACCGCATCCTCGGGGACTTCCGGGTCCGGAGAGGAGAGGGAAGAAGTCTGCAAGGATGGGGCAGTGGTTAGCGCCGGAAGTGACGCTGACGGACAGGAAGTTGAGATCGAATGGGCGGACAGGGCAAAGTCCTCCCCAAGTGTTAGAGAAGCGAAGGGGAAAGCAGGGAGGTAAAGGGCAGTGCTTACTCCGGGGAGCGTATGTTTCCACCTGCCCAGCCTACACACTACAGCTCTTCCCAGGCCACCGTCCTTCTCAGGACCCACCCTTGTTCTGGGGAGCGTATGTTTCCACCCTCCGAGGAGGCAAACACACCTAGCTCCTCGCCAGTGCCCTTCCCGGGAAACATCCTTGTTCCAGGGATCGTATGTTTCCACCAGCCCAGTCTGTACACTAGAGCTCTTCCCAACCCAGTACCTCCCCACTCCCCACCCCTCCCCGAAAGCCAAGCATCCTTGTTCTGGAGATCCATTTTCCAACTGTCCAGCCCTTTCTAGGTCAGTGTGCTTCCTGGTGGGGGGGGGAGCTACGACACGGAGGGGCGGGGAGGGGGATCCTTGTTCCGGGGATCGTATGCTTCCACCGATCCAGCATGCACCCCACATGTCGGGCTTAGTCCCCGAGTCCAGGGCCCCCAGGCGGACGCCCCCCCCCCGCAACCTCCATCTCCGGTCAGCCCTGGTTTCCTGCAGCCTGGCAGCCTCCCCCCACCCACACTCTCAAGCTGAGGCTCGGGGGTGTTGGGTGCCGTGTGCAGCAAGTCCTGGCAGGAATATGGGCCCGAGCCTGGGGCCCAGCCCCGCCCCCCCGCCCTAGGCTACCGGGCGAGTCGCGGCGTTTCTCACAGTTTTCTGCTGTGCGGAGCCGACCTCGGCCCGCGGTCCCGCCGCCTGCGCTCTGCAAAGCCGGGGCTATGCGGTTCTTCACCGCTGGGTGCTGGGACTCAGTCCAACTCGCCCAGGGCGGGAGTGAGAGGACAGGGCGGAGGGAGGATGACGGAGAGGAAAGGATAGGGCAGAGGAGGAGGAGGGGGAGGAAGGGCAGACGCCGAGGGGAGTCTCACAGTCTTCTGCTGTGCGGAGCCGACCTCGGCCCGCGGTCCCGCCGCCTGCGCTCTGCAAAGCCGGGGCTATGCGGTTCTTCACCGCTGGGTGCTGGGACTCAGTCCAACTCGCCCAGGGCGGGAGTGAGAGGACAGGGCGGAGGGAGGATGACGGAGAGGAAAGGATAGGGCAGAGGAGGAGGAGGGGGAGGAAGGGCAGACGCCGAGGGGAGTGTGTGTCTGGGTGACGCCGGTTTTCCGGGTCCGGCTTCCCGTCCCGCGTGTGCGGGTCGTGGGTGCAGGGTCGTGGTCCTGGGTGCGGGTCACGCGGGCGGAGGAGACTCGAGCGCCGCGCGGCCCCGAGCCCGGGATGCGCCAAGTCCGCCTGGAGCCGAGTCCCAGCACCCTCCCGGCTGCCCCGCCCCGTCCGAGCGGGGGAGCCTGTGGCTGTCGGCCCCGGACGCTGCACCCCGCGGAACCCCCGGGTCCCCCCCGCCCCCAGCAGCCCTCGCGGCGTCCTCACCTGCACGGGGGACTCCGCGCCTCTGGACAACGGAGCGCGCGGGTAATCCGCAGAGCGGTCCGGGCGGCCGCGGATAATCCGCAGAACGGCAGCCCCCCCCTGCCGGCCTTGTGCGAACATGCGTGCGCCCACACATGCATGTGCAGGAGGAAGCCGGGACGGGGGGAGCAGCCCGTCCCACGCATGGACACGCATGCACCGGTCCATGTCCACCACGGCAGCGCGCGGCGCGACGGGGAAAGGTACAGAGACCCGCAGCTCTCCACCGCGCAGAAAACCAAACGCGGCACACGCGGGAGCCCACGTGGGACACGCACGCGGCCCCGGATCCCCGGAAGCTCCACATAGCAGGGGAGGACATCCGGGACACGAGGCAGCTGCGTGGACTGAGCCCCACACGATAGCTGCACGTGTGAGCCCACAGCAGTCAGCACGCACGCGACGTGTGCAAACCGCAGCCAGACGGGGATCCAGTGTGGACGCGGGACACGAGCCGGAACCGGCCTAGCCTAGGTCGGAGATCTCCCGGCTGAGACAAACATGTCATGTGCATATGTGTTCACGCATGTGCACGTGTGTGCATGCCTGCGGAGCTGAGTGTATGGACATGACGTCGTGTACATATGCGTGCATGTCACGTACCTGAATGCACGTGAGCACCTGCAGGTGTCAGCGTAGGGAGATGATGTCATACGCATCTGCACGCCTGCACAGGTGGATGCATGGAGATGCTATACGCACGGGTGTGTGTATACGTTGGTGCGTGCACGTGCAGGTCTGTGAACACCTGCAGATGTGAGAGTGTGGAGAGGATGTCATGCAGATGTGTTCACGTGTGTATATGTATGCACGTCTGCATGCTTGCAGATGCAGATGATGTCATGTGCATATGTGTGCACGCATGCACATGCGGCTGCACACCTTCAGAAGTGGGTGAATGGAGGTGATATCATAGGCATGGGTGTGCACGGCTGGACATGCGTATGTATGCTTGTGCACACATGTGCATGTGTCTGCATGCCTGCAGATGTAAATGTATGGAGTTGGTGCATTTAAATATGTGTGCATGTATGTATACGTGTGTGCGATGATTGTGCATGTCTGCGGATCCCTGCAGGTGTGAGTGTATGAGTTGATGTCATGCAGGTGTGTGCACATGTATATACATGTCTGTACGTGTGTGCATGTGTGCATGCACGCAGATGTGAGTGTATGTGGCGATTTGAGGACTACACGTATGTGCGTTCAGAGTGCCATTCCTCCCACAGGTGACTTTGTGTTCATATGCACGCACATTCACTGGCGTGCATCTATTTACAAAAGACGTGAACACAGGAGCGTGCGTGCACACAGAGAGGTGGACAGGCCTTCACATCGTGATCCAACAGGCAGGAACACACATGAAAACATGCATGAGTGTCCATGAGCATGCAGATGGACGGCGCACAGAACTGTAAAGTGACACCTGTACACACCTAAACACGCGTGAACACAGGAGCATACGTACAAATGGACGGACCACCCAACCACGACCTGGCACCTGCACACACACGAACATGCGGGAACACACAGATGGATGGAGCCTCAAGGTGATCTACGCCTGCACACATGCAAACACACACGAACACGCATGAGCATGCGTGAGCACATGAACGCACCGTGCACAGAAAGGTCCCGATTGTCTCCCGTTTTCATGGCAGCAGTTGACGTCCATCCACACCGGGCGCAGGAAGCCGAATGTGGGTGCTGGGGACCTGAGCTAGGTGCTCCCACGTGGCCCCTCCCCCGCGTGTGTTGTTGGTTTGCTTTTTCTTTGTTTCTGCAGGCTCTGATCCTGTAGCCCAGGCTACCCCCGAACTGACTCCCTTCCCGAGACCGGAGGCTAATCCTCCGGTTTCCCCGCCCGCGTCCGGCCATATTCCCGGGCTAGCCTTGGACCACGGCCCGAGCGACCCTGCAGATCCCCTGGAAAGTGGCCACGGGGCTCTACGCACGTGGCCGCCCCTCCCCCACCCCCCGGAGGGATTCGGGAGTGGGACGGGCCTCCCCCGCCCAGGACGGACCCC